GCATCACAGTTTAAATAGGATAATCTCTAAACTGCAGGGTGTTCAGAGAATAGCAGGTAAAAAGATCTGATTTTTGAATTTGAAAAAGATATACTTGAACATAGTGCTCATGCTTAGACCAGAGAAACAGAGTGTGCAGGGTATAAAGATATACTCAGAGAGATCTGAGAAAGAGATTGAGTATTGTATATTCTTGGCAGCTATAGAAGAAAGGCAAGCAGATCCTTTACAGTCTGAGCCACCAAACTGCCTGCAGAAAAAAGGCCAATGAATAAAGCAGACAGGCGGTAGAGCTATTTACACTCAACTAATGAAGAAATTTTCCAACCTTTTGCTGACATGTGAAAACTGATCTTGGATGATAAAATTGTAGTGGTATGATATTTTAGGCAAGATTTCATTGGATAATTAGATATTCTTCAATTTAAAGAAAGTATTATTGTCCAGTTTTATAAAAACTTTCTTTTTTAGAAGACTAGGCTAATTGTCACAGCTGGACTTACCATAAACTTTAGAGTTCCTCATTTGCAACTGGCTTCCCTGGTGGCTAAGAAGGTAAAGAATCTGCCTCCAATTCAAGAGGCATGGGTTCTATCCCTGGGTCAGGAAGATCCCCCAGAGAAGGGAATGTCAACCCACTCCAGTATTCTTGCCTGGGAAGTCCCATGAACAGAGGAGCCTGGCAGGCTACAGTTCATAGGGTCGCAAATAGTCAGACAGGGAAAAATCCAAACAGCTCTCTTTTTGTGTTTATGTATTATTTTACTTAAAATAGTCCCCCTATTATAAAAGTTCAAAGTCTCATAAAATCTGAATTGTTAATAGTGATGATTCTCACAGGATTTAAAACTATCACTTTCATATTTGAATCCACAAATTTGACTGTTCTAATTTATGTATATGAAAGCTTTATTATGTAGAATGAGAACAAATGTGTTCATTTGTGACACAATGATGAAAAAGGAACCAGTGTAATGAACTCTGGAGGTATGCTACCTCATAAAGTGTCAATTCAAGTATAAATATGAAATAGTACAGGAATTAAAATGCATATTTATTTTCCTGGAACAATGTATTTTTATCATAGATCCAGGCACACAGTAGGTATCCATTAAATATTTGTTTCTCTATGGGGATCTTGCATTTCTATGATTTTTTTTTACACTTAATTTTGTAGTAGAAACTGATATTTAATATTTAAATTAACTGATTTTTTTTTGTAAGAATTTCAGACAAGTTGATGTTTTACTAGGTAGAAAATATATTTTTATCTTTTAATAGTCTCTCAAGGGAGATCTACTCACATTAACAAAAAACAAAAAAGAACTAAAATAGGAAAGCAAACAATAAATAAAAGTAATGTTCTACCTTTCATCACAAATGAGTCAAAAGTAAGTTTTTGCTTCTTTTTATTAGCCTATTTTTATAGCTGTTCATTGTGCTATATTTTGTAAATGGCTGGAATAAAACATGTTTGTTATAGGTTTTTTTCAGAAGAAATGATTATTTCTGTAAAATAATGTTCTCATACCCTGGAGAAGGGGATGGCTACCCACTCCAGTATTCTTGCCTGGAGAATTCCATGGCCAGAGAAGCCTGGCAGGTTACAGTCCAAGGGATTGCAATGAGTTGGACACAACTGAGCAACTGATACACACACACAGTTAGTTAAAACATTAGGTAAAAAAAGTAGTTAGTTCTCTCATTTGAGAATACTTAATAAAATTATTTTCAAAGCTGATAGTTTTGGCTTTAATCAAGATTCCCTTTCATGCAGCTTTATTTGGGATTGTGTTCAGTTTTCACTCATAGTTTCTGCTGTCTCCTCTCAAGAAGTGGTCATTGCTGTCATGTAGGATGACGCTGATCCTTGCAAGCTTCAGCCAGAAATGTAAAACTCTGTTGTGACTTACTTAAAAAATAGAAAAAAAGTATGATCTTTATGATAACATGACCTAAAACAAAGATAGTTTTACACCCTAATCTTTCATCTACCCACTCACACAGACACCACATGCACACACAGAATATCACACAAATCCTTTCCTAGATGTTATAATTTCAAGGCTTTAATTTTAGGGTTTTTGGTGTATTCTCTTCCCATAGAAGTTTACACTGTTCTTTGTGACAAATTGTTAATAGAAATTAGGGAACACCTCCAAGCGCCTTCATCTATTTTCAGCTGTGGTGTGTCTCTGAACCATGTGCCTAAATGTTTTTCCACTTCCAGTTTATATCTGCATTAATTATCTTCCAATAAAGTAGTACAAATTGGTACAGAACTAATTCTAAAGAAGTTAATTGATGAAACAGAGAAAATTTCAGGTTTCTTAATTATATCTAGAGCCTACAAATCTTTAGGATTTTTATGTATTTTTAAGTATGGCTTAAGAAGTGAATTTTGTATTACAGAGTGTAGTTTGAAACTTTAACAGTTAGGTGTTTAAACTTTGTATCCTTGCAAAGTTCCAAGGATTGTTTGGACAAAATCTCTTAAGTCTTATTTTTCTGTTTAAACATCATTATTATTATTTAGTAGGTTTTAATTTTTTAGTTGGTAAAATCTTAGTCTACTTTTTAATAATAATTATTTTATTGTGCAGTTAGATTCATAAAATTGAGATTGTAAATAATAAATGGAATTTTTATGTCAGAGTAATGCTTAGCTATGTAATTGCACAGCTTGAGATGTGAGGTTTGGGACTTGTGGTATTGGTTTTAATTTTTTCTTTTAAGTGAAAGTCACTCAGTCAAGTCTGACTCTGCAACCCCATGGACTGTATAGTCCATGGAATTCTCCAGACAAGAATACCGGAGTGGATAGCCTTTTCCTTCTCCAGGGGATCTTCCCAACCCAGGGATCAAACCCAGGCCTCCCACATTGCAGGTGGATCCTTTACCACTGAGCCACAACGGGAGTTCATCACTAATAGATTCCTAGTTGTTAAGTCCTGTATGACTCAGTTCAAGTATCTCTTCTTAGTGACATTTCTCAACAGAATTAAAAGATACTTTAGTGTCTGTTGATGATAATGCACCTATCAAAATTATAAATTCACAGTTACATGCTCATACTTTAAGAGAGTGATGACTTGATATTCACAAAGCAACCCATTAGTTATTTTAACAGGAACATATTTTGGTAAGGAAATAGATTTTCTACTTTCTCAAAGCACTCACAAATTTACTTTAACCTCACATTACTAAGTTACAACTAGTTTTTTTAAAACCTAAAATTTAAGTGATTGGTAGAATAACGTAATTATATGTTTAGAAAATGCTTATATTACATATGAAATTTTCTTAACTAAATTTTTTGACATGAGTAACGTTTCTGTATGTATTACATTTACTTAGACGTCTTCGTTTTGGCAGTCTCTAATTGAGAAATACAAGTACTTTTTTTTTAAGATTTAATAACTTATGTATTCTTAGCTGCACCGGGTCTTAATTGATGCACTGGCGCTTTCTCAAGTAGTGGCAAGCAGGGTTACCTTTTGTTGCAGTGCTCAGGCCTCTCATTGCAGTGGCTTCTCTTGTTGTGGAGCATGGCCTCTAAGGTGTGTGGGTGTCAGCAGTTGCCTCAGTAGTTGTGGCCTGAGGGTTTAGTTGCTCCACAGCATGTGGGATCTTCCTGGACCAGGGATCAAACCTGTGTTGTCTACAGTCGCAGGCAGATACTTAACCTCTAGACCACCAAGGAAGCCCCAAATACAAGTACCTTTTTATTTACTTAAGTTTATTTGACCCATCTAATTTGAAACTTTCACTATAGTTTAAATATTCTAAAGAAACATGCCCAACTGAAAACGATAATTGTGAAAATCATAGAATTGTTCTACGAATCAGTTCACTCACTGAGTCTTGTCCGACTCTTTGCGACCCCCTGGACTGCCCCCACACCAGGCTTCCCTATCCATCACCAGCTCCCAGAGCTTGCTCAGGCTCATGTCCATCAAGTCAGTGATGCCATCTAACCATCTCATCCTCTGTCGTTCTCTTCTCCTCACACCTTCAATCTTTCCCAGCATCAGGTTCTTTTCCGATGAATCAGTTCTTCAGTTCAGGTGGCCACAGTATTGGAGCTTCAGTTTTAGCATCAGTCCTTCCAATTAATATTCCTGAATGATTTCCTTTGGGATTGCCTGGTTGGATCTCCTTGCAGTCCAAGGGACTCTCAAGAGTCTTCTCTAACACCACAGTTCAAAAACATCAATTCTTCAGCTCTCAGCTTTCTTTATGGTCCAACTCTCACATCCATACATGACTACTGGAAAAACCATAGCTTTGACTAGACAGACCTTTTTCAGCAAAGTAATGTCTCTGCTTTTTAATATGCTGTCTAGTTTTGTCATAGCTTTTGTTGCCACATCTGAAATAAAGCCACAGCTATGTTTCTGCTTTGAAAATTATTTTAAATTGTGAGTGAAACATTTTACTGTCTAAACTCTCTGCCGCTACAGATCGAATGCCAATTTCTAGTACTAGTGATTTACAATACAATTATTATAAAAATTCATTCATAATTTTTTCTATGATAATATTTTTAGATAGTAATTTTTTCTCATAATCAAATCATTATATGTCAAAGTTAACAGAAATATGAGACTGTCACTTTATAATGTTTGTTAGGAGGAGTGATATTTTTATGGGCCAAACTTAAAGTTAAGACTATTTCAAGAATACATACTTGGTTCAGAAACAGCAGTTTTGACTTTGTAAAACATTTGGACGTTCTTTTCTTCTCTCATAGTTAAATGGCTTTACTGCATATGTGCAAAATGTAATAAAATGTTCCTATTAATTACTTTTGAATTAATCTCAATTTAAACATATAAGACTTACAGTGAAATAAGAATATTGCAAATGGTAATAGCTCCATGTATACAATCTCATTTTTGATGACTAAGTAATTGTATAAACAATATTGTAAATTGTTAAGCCAGTAGTCTTATGTCTAATGCCTTTGTTTCCTACATCTCATTGTTTCTTTCTCTTAGATCGGGGCACTGTGCAGAAGGTGGTTGTTCTTCCTACTAACAGCTCTGCTCGCGGTGAGCTCATTCTGGAGGAGTTGGAAGTCTTTAAGGTTTGAACATCTATTCTGTTAGCATCAGCCCATGCATGATAAATGGAATTCTGTAATCTTATGACCACTTTGGAGGAAAAAAATTGATAAAAGATCAAATAAATGAATGTTATAAATTTTTGAGAGTAGGAAACACCAGATAAAATAAGTATAGAACAAATATTTTTCTGAAGTCATTTTTTACATTTCAAGTTATCTTAAAATTAAAAAATTAGTTTTTTAGCTACCATCACAACTTGAAGAATTTTGATGTGATCATTATTTTTTTTTCAAATGAGTTCTTATGGTCAAGGTCTAGACTATCTGCCCTGAAAGGGCTTTTATCATTTGCTTTACAAGCCACTGAAACCCAAATAGTTCCTCATTATTGATTGTTAGAAAAACTTTCTCATATTTTTTTGCCAGGAACTTCAAGAAAAACTGCTTTGTTTTCTCTTGTTTTATTGCTTTCAATTCAAATGTCACTCTAGTTAAAACAAACATTGTTGTCTCTTGAAACTTAGAATTTCATGTTCTGTCTAAACTTGGAATTGCATTGTTTATTCTCTTTGTCCTTGAATTTGGGATAAGAAGAAATGAAAACACAACAAAAAAAGGCCCATAGAGGAAAATTCAGGCCAGGTGACACTAGTGGTAAACAACCCTTTGCCAATGCAGGACATGGAGATGAAGGTTTGATCTCTGGGTCTTGAAGATCCCCTGAGGAGGTCATGGCAACCCATTCCACTATTCTTGCCTGGAGAATCCCATGGGAGCCTGGTGGGCTACATAAGGTCACAAAGAGTCAGACATGGCTAAAGCAACTTAGCACACAGGCACACACACACGTGAGCCTGGAGAACAGGTACATGGTGTCCTGAAAAGCCTTCTCTCATATGTCATTATATTGATAGTTCAAATGATCCCTCTTACCTGCATTTGGAAAAATGAGTAAAGCACAGCCGGATTTTGAAGAAACATTGGTATGGAATTAATTCTACTGCAAACTTCTATTTCTGACTAAAGTAACTAAGAAACAATGGTCATGGACACCAAAAGACCAGAGTGAGCTTGTACTGGAGTAAAAATAGCACTTCAGAACCCCTCAGTGCAAGTTATTGCTAGTCCAGAAAGTTGCCTTGCTCAGTTGAGTGAACTTAGAATGTATTAATATATGTTCCCACAATCACCAAAGATACTGGATTTTAAGCACATAAGTGACTAGGATACAATGATGTTAGATTATGCTAATACAGTTTAAATATGAAGAAATATTTTTAAAAAGCAAATACAGAATCTGAGTAATTCTGGCAGTTTCTCATTATGTTATTAAAGTTACAATTTTTAATGTTAGACTAACTTTGGCATCAGGTTCCTTGTGATTAGTGGATTAATATTGTGCTCACAAAATATTAACCATGTAAATTCAAGTGCCATTTCTATGCCTTGCTTTGTAAAGAAATGACACTGGATTAACCAAAATCACATTTTACAGAACAATACATATATTTTTCTCATTCAGTTCAGTAGGGGCAACATGAATGGCCAAAGTAATATGAAGTATCTTATTCAGTAGTTTTCTTGAAGATAGCAAAAAGGTTGTATTTCAGCACTTCATTTTTAATTCTGAAATATCTTTTTTTGATAATCAGAAAATGTTAATTGAGTTTGACACAAACTCAAACATATACTCTATGGAAAGGTCTTAAAAATGTGAGGTATTCTGATCATGTGCTAACTACTTGTGATCTGTTATATGAGTTATGCTGGTATTATCATCATAAAGAATAAACTCTCAGTGGAAAAATAGAGTCAGTCAAAATGCATGTGGGGGGAAATCAACCCAAGAGAGACTAAGGATGCTTGAGCATTCTTCCGGATGTGTGTGCCAGTGATTGATGTGGCTAAACTGAGAGACACAGTTACCAAATAAAGTTACTGTCCTCAGCATGGTGTTTGTGTCACATTTTTTGAGGTGAGGTAAAAATAATTGGGTGAGTATGATATACTATGATGGGTACTTGAGGAAATAATACATTTAAATTGGAAAAAAATCCTTAGCTAAGTGTCACACTGATATACTGCAGAAAACTCCATTTAACTTTTAAAAAGCAAGCACTTTGTTTTTAAAGAGCACAGAACCATAATATCTTCTTTAATCCTCTTTTCAGAACTTCTTCTGAAAATATGCCCAACTTCCCTAAACTTAACTTGAATTCAAAGTACAACTATTAATATTTCCCTAGGTGGATATAAATTGCAAGTGTTGCCTTGTATGTGTGTGCATTTCTAAATGAATGTCATGATTTGTTGCAATTGAGTATTTAGAGGTATCACTATATTATCTTTTAAATGTTTGTGTGAACACATAACTCCAGAAAGTGAAGTAATTATGGGCAGAGTTGATTTTGGCAGCGTATGCACACTTAAGTTACTCAGATGAAGCTTCACAAAACTTTATCACAGTATCACAAATCTAATCTTTAATCTTTAAAAGGAACTAATGATATGTAAGAAGTAAAGTTAAGAACAGAGGAATTTTTAAAAAGGATAACTATTTCAGATAACTTTTAGGTTCTTTTACTAATTCACACTTATCAAAAGAAAACCTTACCTAACGATATTCTTTTGTTTTCAACTAAGAGGATTAATAAGTGTACAGGTCAGTCACTCAGTTGTGTCTGACTCTTTGAAACCCCATGGACTGCAGCATGCTAGGCCTCCCTGTCCATCACCAACTCCCAGAGTTTACCCAAACTCATGTCCATTGAGTCGTGATGCCATCCAACCATCTCATCCTCTGTCCCCTTCTCCCCCTGCCCTCAATCTTTCCCAGCATCAAGATCTTTTCAAGTGAGTCAGCTCTTCGTATCAGGTGGCCAAATATTGGAGTTTCAGCTTCAACATCAGTCCTTCCAATGAACACCCAGGACCGATCTCCTTTAGGATGGACTGGTTGAATCTCCTTGTAGTCCAAGGGACTCTCAAGAGTCTTCTCCAACACCACAGTTCAAAAGCATCAATTCTTCAGTGCTCAGCTTTCTTTATAGTCCAACTCTCACACCCATACATATCTAGTTCAGGCAAATACTTCTTTTCATAGCAGCATTTGACAGATAAACAATAGTGTCTTATGCAAAACGCTTTTGTTGTGGAGGAATAAAATGGAGTACCATTCCACTACCCCCCACACAAGCACCCAGATCCAATCCTGAATTATTCATTACATTCAATATTTCACATAAAATTTTTTCAATTATCTCAAGCTTTGCTAATTTTCATTCATTTCTAATGACTATATTGATAGATGTGTTATAATTTCTACTTGTTTTTTTAGTTTAGGCATATATTTGTGTAACAAATCTGTCATTATTTTGAACAGAAGAAATGAAGTTTATAGATAATTATTGCTAAACTTTGAAAATATATGTGCATATAGAGAGAAATGATGATTTCTTGAATTTTAGTATAAAAAGTCTTTTCATGTAAAATCCTTTTTAAGGATTATTTGAGCAGCTAACAATTTTTTTTTTATTTTTTAGAATCATGCTCCTATAACAACAATGAAAATTTCATCCAAAAAGGTAAAAACAAAACATGTTTATTTTCTTTGTATGTAAAAATTTTACTATTGTAGAAGAATGTATTTTATAATTTTGAAAATTTGATTTTAGTATTAGCAAAATAATTAATACTGTTCATAATATACCACACATTTAATTTTGATATGGAATTTACTAGCTTTAGTGGAAGACAAAATAGGTTTATTTTTGTACAGAAATTAATTAGAATAGAATATATATATATGTGTGTGTATGTGTGTATATATATATGCAGCAAGATATTCCAATTTTTTTAATATCCTCTATTCTTAAATATTACAGTGTGTGAAGCCAACCAAAATAAAAATAATCTTTCTGAAGAAAGAATTTAGCATAATATTTGGGCTACTATAACATCACAAGCATTCTCAGGGACTTGAAATGCATAATCAATCCTCTTTTCCTCTTTTGAATTCCTGCTACTGTCAAATGTTTCAAATGTGCAGTGCATTCTTTTATGTTTATTTCTAAGAAAGTACTATTTTATAAGGTTTACATGTCACTTGAAAATCTGAATGTCTCAAATCTAAGCTATATCAGGCTTCAGGATTTGGGGAATAAATGTTTTACTATGATTTTATCAGAAATGTTTGATCTAATTTGCACCTGTACATGCTGATACACAATGATCATGGAAAGAAAAAGCCCAATTCCAGTCTCTACATTTGCAAAACGTGCACCTCTCCAGACCCCAAAGGCACTATCTCTTAAACAAATGTTCTAAGGGGCAGAGCAGTTTAGTCAAAAATGAGATAGGGTTCAGAATGAGACTGATGTGCATTTGAATACCAACCTGACCCTAATTTATAAATAAATTATTTAGCTTCACTGACCTACATCTGCCTCTGCAAGGTAATCCTTTTCTCCCAAATGAATTAACTTATATAAATTGCCTAAAATAAAGTGGTAACTCTTGTTGTAAGAGCCTAAGACTTATTTTTCTTGGAATATGGAATGAAGTTTTTATGTGTTAGCATAACTAATGATATAACTTTGGTGTTCTTCACCATATTTGGTCTGTTATAGATAAGTAAGTATTCCTATCAGTCTTGTACTGTTTTCACTTGACTAAATTTTATGAAGAAAAATAAATAGGGTACAAGGAAGCTAAAGATCTCATCTGTCAAAATGTTTGCATGGTGCATAACAAACATTTTCCCAAGTAGCAAGAAGCCATTTGTCATTTTGCCTAATTTCCTAGGGAGCTGATCTCAAGTCAGAATTGTCTTTGAAGTCAGCAGGGAATCCTTTTGTTGAAATGGATTTAATGGAAAGAAAAAGTATCAGAGCAAAATTCAAAATGGACACAAAGCCATTTTTGTGATACTGTAGCCCAGTATACAATTATAGATTTCAGCTCCTAATTCAACGGGTAAACTTGTAATACACAGCCCACTCCATTAAATTACAATGTACAACACACACATACACAGGAAAAACTGAATATTAAATGTGTCTCAACTTCTTATATTATAGATAATTTAAAATCTTTAGTTACATCAATTATATTCAAGGCAAGGTAACTGATTTGGGGGGAATTCATTTTAACAACTACATATTGCACTATTTTTTAAGTGTGAAAGAACTACAAATTGACAATGGTATTTTATATATACTTAAATTCCATGAATTTAGTACCTTCTCTAATGCTCAAACTAAAAAATTTATTGTTCATTTTATACTCTTCTATTTTCAAATTTATCCTTGCATTCCATGACAGAAAATGGATTAATAAAAAAGGTTATTTATAGAATGAAATTACCTGTATCCTTTTCTCAAATAAATACATTTCCTTGGAATATGTTAATGAAGCTGATGTACTATTTGTTAATGTACTCAATAAACATTTATTTAAAATATTTCTAAGGAAATTATTATTATTGAAACATACAATTGTTTTCTTATAGCTTGAATGTCTCAAATGGGGATCAGTAATTTTCAGCCTATTTTCTGAAAAATTTATTGATCTGAATAAAGTATTTTATATTAGGCACACTAAACTGAGATGTGATTCAAATGATTAATTAGAATTGAAAATGTATAAATTGCTAGCTTGTTCACTGGTAGTTTACTCTATTACAACTACTACTATTACTTAATGTTCATTAAATACTTAGGTGCCAGAAACTATTTTAAGCAATTTGTATGGAATTAGTGCTTATATTGTTCTTACAAAACATGTATGGAGTAAGTGCTACATAGTCCCAGTCTTACCAAAGAGGAAGCCGAGATTAGAAAAGTTACCCAGCAAAATTTGGAGACTGGGATCTGAATCTCAGAGACATGCCTCCAGAATCTGTTAGACCAATGATGCCCTCACTGATTTAATTTTGAATCTATAAATAATTTGTAAATGTGTGTGTGTATGCACACACACACACACACACACACACATGTTTGTGCACATGTGCATATGTTCAAGTTCCAACTTAGAAATTCCCTGTTAACTTGAGTTAAACATCATTAGTCCTTTGTAAAATGAGGACTCTGAGTTAGAAACTTATATCTTCAACTCCTGAGAACCACTTTATACATAGCCAAGAGAACTGGGGCAGTATCATAATAAGCTCTTGACACCATACAAATGAAGGAAGATGGAATCTTTATTTATAACCTAGGCTCTTGAAGATCTGTGGATCATACAGAACATTTAAAACATGTCTAAATATAAATACAGTCTTCTAAATAGTTTTAAAATCACTCTAATGAGTAATAATTCACTTTCAAAAGCAGGTGAAAATTGTTTTAAAAATTTTATCTAATACTTACTATTTTTTGTCAACTTAGAAATGTCCTGCATTTTAGACTTGACTTTTTAAAGTTTGCAAGGTGATGAGTTGCCAATCTTGAAGAATAAGAACACTCCCTTGTGCTTTGCCAAGAGACAGCATTCAAAGAGAAAAACAAACATCACAATTTAAATCTGTAATACATCAGCTCAAATCTGAGAGAACAATGAATCTCAACATCTAAAACATATTACCATTGTACATGGTGCTCTGAGGTTTTTTTTTCCCAATCAAGTCAGGTAATGTTATAGGCGTATTAACATAGGGAAATTCTGTTTATTTTGGCGTTATACCCTTCTGTACTTTGCTTCTTGTTTTTAGTCTGTTTCAAAATGCATCCAAGGGTCTGTGGGCATATATTATGTGTTCCTGCTGAAAGTTCTCTTTTACTTCCACATCTGAAATAAATCACCGTCATTCTTCTGATAGCAACAGCTGTATGTGAGCTCCAATGAAGGACTTGCCCAAGTGTCTCTGCATCGCTGCCACATCTACGGGTCAGCCTGTGCTGACTGCTGCCTGGCAAGGGATCCTTACTGTGCCTGGGATGGCCATTCTTGCTCTAGGTTCTATCCAACCGGAAAGCGGTGAGTACCGAATATTCAACTGAAAATCAAAATCAGTATCATCAGACGGTTAAGCAGTGCTCCACATTATTGGAATCAGTTCTATTGCAGTATCCTGTGAAAACGACACTAAAAGTAGTAGCTGTGTTCAGCACCATATGTAGTCTTCAAATAAAGAAAATGGCCATTCATAAAAAACAAACTTCAAAGGATACAGAGGGCTGGGGGTGGGGGGAGGGGGATCAATTTTAACTTGGGATTCCCACAGAAATATTAGAGTGCAGTAGTTTGGAAAAATTCCTTTTTCATTTTAAAGTTCCTCTGCAACACAGTCCCCCACCTGCAACCCCTAAAATATTTCAAGCAGCATTTAACTTTCACATTTACCCAATGTTTATCTTTTTTGTTTTATATGCTTCAGATATCCTTAAATCTAACATTCCTAGGGTTTCCTTGTGCCATTTAATTCCTCTGTAATCAAATGCTTGTCTTAGTTCAGACAACAGGAGCATCGCTCCAGAATGGGTACCCTGAGTACTTTCAAAACCTTGATAACCATGCTTTACCCCCTAAAATGGTGAATGTATAATTATTGGTTAGATTAAGAGGTTCAGGTAGTCTGAGGCACAGTGCCTTTTAGCCAAGAGAAGACTTAGGAAGGAAACCCTGAACCAATTTGCACCAAGTTGGAAGGAAACACCAGTAATGAAATTATAAAGCAATGAATATGTGGAATTTAGGATCAGTCAAAGTCACAGCTGTTTTCACTCAAAGTTTAGTATGGGTCATGATGAGTGACAAGAGGAAAACCTATGAGACATAGGGTCATCAGGAGATAGCAAATACGACTAGTCTTGAGCACCAATGATCTTTCAAGTAAAGTTACTGGAGTGATGATATTTTATAACTCCTTTTTCTCTGATATAGATACAGGTCTTTAAGGACTTGACAGATTAAAACAACCCAGCACTTCTGCATGTCAAAATTATTCTGATCCTTTTATGCATTCAGTTCAGTTCAGTTCAGTCACTCAGTCGTGTCTGACTCTTTGCGACCCCATGAACTGCAGCACGCCAGGCCTCCCCATCCATCACCAAGTCCTGGAGTCCACCCAAACCTATGTCCATCAAGTCGGTGATGCCATCCAACCATCTCATCCTCTGTCATCCCCTTCTCCTCCTGCCCTCAATCTTTCCCAGCATCAGGGTCTTTTCAAATGAGTCAGCTCTTTGCATCAGGTGGTCAAAGTATTGGAGTTTCAGCTTCAACATCAGTCCTTCCAGTGAACACCCAGGACTGCTCTCCTTTGTTATGACATTACTTGGGAGAATAGCATTTTAGAGAGAGGCACCAGAGTCCTTAGAGCTGGAGTGTGCCAAGATTGTCCAAAAAACAACACCAAGACGAATGAGGCTATCTATACTGGAATGAGCCGGGGGGGACGTAGGAAGAAATGGCATCAGAATGCCAGATGACATAGGATTTAGTAAATCAGCAAAGGACTTTTATTTAGAGATAAGTGGAAAACTGCTGAAGGGTTTTGAGCACAGGAATAGTATTGTTTGAATTTTGTTTTAAAAAGTTCATCTGGTGGGTTTGGCTGGGATCGAAGTCCTGGGATAGAAAGAAAATGTGAGGAGAGGAAATAGAAGGTGCAAGACAGTTAGACTACTAACTGATGACCAAAGTAAGATAAAATGGTGGCTTGGTAGAGCTGGAGGTGGCCAAAAGTCTTCTGATTCTGGATAGGGCTCACAGAATCTGCTAACATGTTACATGTTGGGATGTTATAGAAATAGAGGACTCAGAAATAAGCCAGTTTTTCAGAACTGAGCATTGGAAATATGTGCATGGCATTTCCTGAGAAAGAGAAGACTGTGAAAGGCACACGTTTGTGGGGAAACTGACAATGTTAAGTTAGTGATGCCTATAAGGTATTCAAGTGGAGATTTCATATAGGCAGTTAGACATCTGAATCTGGAGTAGGGAAAAGTGGCCCAGATAAGTTCAAAGTCTTCTGTATTAAAGGCATAAGGTATGATGAAAAGTCCCACTCTTTACCCAGAAGATTTTAGTATCTGTTTTCAAAGACCCATATTCTACCATGTTATTTTAAGATTTAATTAGGAGGTCTCTGGCCTCTTTTCATTTCTGCATAGAATTTCTGGACCTCATTATCCTGGGATATGACTATACTGGGCTGGAGTTCTGCACCTGGACACAAAGTATGAGGGAAGGAAATTCTAAATAATCTCAGATAAAAAATGATTTTTGTGCTCACTTTTGGTGTTTTTTACTATATTTATATTCATTCACAATTGTGATAGCAGCAATATTCTTCAGCTATTTTCATAACTATTACTAAAGCAATAATTATTTTTTCTCAGTAAGCATTTCTAAAATTGGCATATCTAACACCCAGAAGGCTTCCCAGATGGTAAAGAATACACCTGCCAATGCAAGAAACATGGGTTTGATCCCTGGTTTGGGAAAATCCCCTGGAGAAGGAAATGACAACTCATTCCAGTATTCTTGTTTAGGAAATCCCATGGACAAAGGAGCCTGGCAGGCAACAGTCTTTGGGGGTCACAAAAGAATCAGATACAACTTAGGGACTAAAGAGCAACAGAATACTTGAAAAAGAACCTTCAATCTATTATTAAACAAATTTAGTGCTCAAGGAAACTGAAGCACTACACTTTCTAAAACAGAAAGTGATATAGGGACCACCAGTGAATCTTACCACAGTCCTATAGACAAATCAGCCTTCTCTATGACGTGAAGAAATTGAAAATGAGTACTGCTTCCCTGCAAAATTTTCAGACATTGGCTTTAGCCACTAAGCATTTTTATTTAACAAACAAGAACTATTTCACAATTAAAATTCCATACTATATATAAAAACTATCATTGCATATTTGAGATATTTTTTACATTATAGAAGTTTCTGCTGAAATATGAGTTAACTCATTTGTTCTAATATTCTCCCACTAATCTTTTTTAAATTGTGTACTTAAGCATAGATTCTACATTGTCATCCTAATGCAACAAATTGTTATTTTAACCATATGCTCATAATAAACAAAGAACTGAAACATTCTTGAAATTATTAATGTTGCAATATAATGTGCATTATTAAATCTGCATCATGGGTTTTCTACTAGAACTAATAAAATAATTTAGTAAAGTTGCAGGATACAAAAATCTATTGTTTTTATATACACTAAATTGCCAACATTCGCTGGATCATTGAAAAAGTAAGAGGGTTTCAGAAAAATGTCTATTTCTGCTTTATTGACTATGCCAAAGCCTTTGACTGTGTGGATCATAATAAACTGGAAAATTCTGAAAGAGATGGGAATACCAGACCACCTGACCGGCCTCTTGAGAAACCTGTATGCAGGTCAGGAAGCAACAGTTAGAACTGGACATGGAACAACAGACTGGTTCCAAATAGGAAAGGAGTATGCCTAGGCTGTATATTGTCACCCTGCTTATTTAACTTATATGTAGAGTACATCATGGGAAATGCTGGGCTGGATGAAGCACAAGCTGGGATCAAGATTGCCAGGAGAAATATCAATAACCTCAGATACACAGATGACACCACATTTATGGCAGAAAGTGAAGAAGAACTAAAGAACCTCTAGATGAAAGTGAAAGAGGGGAGTGAAAAAGTTGGCTTAAAGCTCAACATTCAGAAAACTAGGATCATGCCATCCGGTCCCATCACTTCATGGCAAATAGATGGGAAAACAGTGGAAACAGTGGCTGAATTTATTTTGGGGGGCTCCAAAATCACAGCAGATGGTGATTGCAACCATGAAATTAAAAGACGCTTACTACTTTGGAGAAAAGTTATGACCAACCTAGACAGCACATTAAAAAGCAGAGACATTACTTTGTCAACAAAGGTTGGTCTAGTCAAGGCTATGGTTTTTCCAGTAGTCATGTATGGATGTGAGAGTTGGACTATAAAGAAAGCTGAGTACCAAAGAATTGATGCTTTTGAACTGTGGTGTTGGAGAAGACTCTTGAGAATCCCTTGGACTGCAAGGAGATCCAACCAGTCCATCCTAAAGGAGATCAGTTTTGAGTGTTCATTGATGTTCACTGATGTTGAAGCTGAAACTCCAGTACTTTGGCCAACTGATGTGAAGAGCTGACTCATTTGAAAAGACCCTGATGTTGGGAAAGATTGAGGGTAGGAGGAGAAGTGGATGACAGAGGATGAGATGGTTGGATGGCATCACTGACTCGATGGACATGAGTTTGGGTAAACTCCGGGAGTTGGTGATGGACAGGGCGGCCTGGCGTGCTGCAGTTCATGGGGTTGCAAAGAGTCAGACACGACTGAATGGCTGAAGTGAACTGAACTGAACTGAATAACAAACCAGCAGAAAGAAAAATTAGGGAAAATAGTCCCATTTATAGCTTCATCAAAAAAAATTAAATACTTAGGAATAATTTTAACAGAGACAAAAGATTGAAACTGTAAGTCATTGATGGAAAAAAAATTGAAGAAGACACAAATAAGTGGAAAGTTTTTCTATACTCTTGGGTTAGAATATTTAATATTGCTCAAGTGTTTATACTACCCAAAACAATAAACAGATCAAAGATGACCCCTATCAAAATTCCAATGACGTTTTTCACAGAAATAGAAAAAAGAATCCTAAAATTTGTATGGAACCACAAAAGAGCCTGGCTATCCAAAGCAATCTTGAGAAAGAAGAAATACGCTGGTTGAATCATGCTCCCTGGCTTCATACTGTACTACAAAGCTATAGTAACCAGAAGAGTATGGTATTGGCATAAAAACAGGTACATAGATCAGTAGAGGAAACTAGAGAGCCAGAAATAAACCTCGGCATTTATGGTCAATTAATTTACAACAAAGGAGCCAAAAAATACACAGTGGAGAGGACCGTCTCTTCAGTAGATGGTGTTGAGCAAACTTGACCTTCGCATGCAAAAAAGGATGAAACTAGACTATCGCCATACACCACATCCGAATATCTACTCAAAATGAACTGAAGACTTGAACATAAGACATGAAACCACAAAACTCCTGAAAGAAAATGTAGACAGTAAGAGAACGCCCACACTTTAAACCATTCTAATAGGTATAAAGTGATGTCTCATTTTGGTTTTGACGTGTGTGTGTGTGTGTATACACACATATATAAGATATTCCTTGGTCTACCCTTAACCTGTATTTGGCTGGCGTACTGGGAGTTTCATTAAAACTATCTATACTGTTTAAATTATCCACATTATCCCCAAACTTTTTAAAGCATACAGTTATAGTGAATGCAAAACATGTTTGCTGTATGAATTATTTCCTAAATTCCCTTATGTAATAGTTATTTTCTTTGCAGATTAAATAGTAATAATGAAAATGATAATTTGGAGTATTTTTATCTTATTTAATAGTCTTAACTAACTTTAGTTTTATTTTAGATGGCACTATCTAACTGGAGCACAAAGATCATGCAGAAGAATTCATAGGCATAAAAATCAAAAGCTTGTCCCTTTGTATGGAAACAAAGTACAGCTGTACTTGGAAATCAATGGAGGCTATACTTTGACATAATAAGGTTGTTAATGTCATTGGCGCAGTAGTTTCTCTTTTTAAAAAGACATGTTTTTCATAGTAACATTTTACTGTTTTTCATAGTAAACAACATTAAGCATTTTTCCTCTTTATCCTCAAGCACATTAAATATTTGTGCATTTGTGTCAGTTCAGTTTAGTCACTCAGTCGTGTCCTACACTTTGTGACCCCATGGACTGCAGCATTCCAGGCTTCCCTGTCTATCACCAATTCCCGGAGCCTACTCAAACTTATATCCATCGCATCAGTGATGCCATCCAACCATCTTATCCTCTGTTGTCCCCTTCTCCTCCCACCTTCAATCTTTCCCAGCATCAGGATCTTTTCCAGTGAGTCGGATCTTTTCCAGTGAGTCGGATCTTTTCCAGTGAGTCGGTTCTTTGCATCAGCTGGCCAAAGTATTGGAGTTTCAGCTTCAGCATCGTTCCTTCCAATGAATATTCAGGACTGATTTCTCTTAGGATTGACTGGTTGGATCTCCTAGCAATCCGAGGGACTCTCAAGAGTCTTCTCCAACACCCCAATTCAAAAGCATCAATTCTTCGGCGCTCAGCTTTCTTTATAATCCAACTCTCACATCCGTACATGATTACATACAAATTTAATCTCGAATATTATTTATTCTGGATATAGACATGTAGTTGGAAATGTTAAAACAAGAGAATCAATTTACCCTTCAAGTAAATATCTGCTTTTTACACAGTAAGAAAATAATTTCATTGTTTATCTAAAAGAACAGACTATAATGGAGGAAACTTTGACATCTTGAGCCAAATTCCCAGTCCCGCATGCAGTGAACTATGACTGTCTACCATCATGCTTTCACGATGTTCTGCAAATACCTTAAAGGGAATCTACACATATAGAAGGGCTTCCCTCGTGGCCCAGACATTAAAGAATCTGCCTGCAGTACAGGACGCCCAGGTTTGATCCCTGGGTGACAGATAATAGAGAACTCAGATGGCTGCCTTATTGTTCTCATCATTAAAAGCAAAGCCCTAACATGTTTTTCTATATTTGAAAGTCTGGAAGGTAAGTGATACTGCAAATTCAGATTGCTCAGCATGAAGGCCCATGTACTTGAGTAAGCCATAAACTAGTGCTGATCATATGACAATAAATTAAATTTTGTGAGCAATAATGCTTACTTAGATGGCTGAAAATGACCAGTTCAACTATAAGAACTATCATATGGTTCTCATATAATATATACTCACAGGTTGACTAGTAGCAAATAATTGTTTGACTTCATAATATACCAAATACAATGCAGTAAAAACCCGACTTAGGATCTATTCTAAAGTACAGTATTAATCATAATTCCTAAGACAAGAGTGACTTCCACTCGTTTGTGTTTGTAATTGTAGAGAAATATACAACTGAATAAGGATCATGTGGCTTTTGGGGGAAGAGAATCCTTAAATGACACAAAGTTTATACCTATATTTCATAAATAGATTTATATAATCCTTTGATTATATAAACTATTATCTGTTTGCCATAACTTAAAATTTTTTTAACCTTGAGGTTAATTATGGTTTGCAAATTTTATAAGCCCAGTGTTAATATTTTCCTTCTCTTACTGAATATTTTAATTTATCAGTAAGGATAAACTATTAAGAGAAACTTAACTAGCCCAGTTAAATGATATACTCATCCTTATATACTTTTCAGAATTGATAACAAACAATCAGTTTACCTCCTGTTAATCACAATAAAGAACATTCTGTTCCTTCTTCTTTATAACAAGGTTCATGTCCACAGTTCATTGATAAGGTTATTTCAATGACTCTGTTTTGATTTGTTGTACTGTGTAATACAATTGACACTATAAGTGAATCTAAGACAAGAAATTAAATAGTTTGCAAATAATTTTAAACTTTTATTTAAATAGTGAGCAATTTTAAAAGGATGAACTAAAATTTTGAAATGCTAAAGTCAATGATATGTAACAACTAAAGGCAATGAGTGAACCTTGTTTGGATCCTGAGTAAACTTTTAAAAATGCATAGGGATACTTTGAGTATCACAAGTAGTGAAATTTCAATATAGAATGTACTTTATATGATATCATTAAATAAATATAGATATGGTTAATATAATAATGATGTTATGTAGAGAAATTACTCATTCTTAGAAGATACATTTAAGGGTATAAAATTATCTTGTCTGCAACTTATTTTCTAAAGATTTTCATATATGTGCATATGTAGTATATATATATAACATTTACTTGGGTATGAAAGAGCACATAAATATGGCACAACAATAGTTTATGAGTGTTGGTTACCATTGTTCATTCTATTTGTGTATCCAATTTTCTATAGTCTTGAAAATTTTCAAAATAAGAACATGAAGGAAAATGCTTAGTCTAGTAAATGAAACATTTTGCTTAACTTTATATAAATATTCATTTTCTTTGTTTCTCTGGTTCTGGACACTTTTTAGTGTATCTGGAAATTATTTGAAAGTATTGACTTTTGTAAGAGAAGTATATTTATTTAAGAAAAAATTAGAAAGTGGAAGATGCTAGTAAATTTATACTTTGGAGGTTATTGTATTAGAAAATTTTCTAAGACTGTCTCTAAAATAAAAATCTACCCTGTTAATTTGGAATCTAGCATCTATGCTAGAAAGTATATATAATAGGATGTTCATCTGTTGTGAGTGGTAGATGAAAGTATATATAATAGGAGGTTCATCTGTTGTGAGTGGTAGATGGGGAGACTGAATTAATTCAAATTGAAAACAAAGTGCCCACATGATGTTTGAAGCACTGAACAAAAAATACGGATAATCAGATCCTTTTTCTTTATGAAACCTTAGGCAATCATAACATTGCATAATTTAAAATGAAGTCTTTTAAGTACATCATAGTTGGCACTGTTAATTTTAAGTCACTTGTATATATTTCTGCACTTCATAGGAGGAGCCGAAGACAAGATGTGAGACATGGCAATCCACTGACGCAATGCAGAGGGTTTAACCTAAAAGGTAATTAAAAGTGCTCAAACTTGGTAAAGAGTAGCAGTGCTCCATATCCTATTTCAGTAAGGGAAATCTGTGATAAATCAAAATGTGTCATTTTAAAGAAAGATTCACTGTACAAATTAGAGACATTCATGTATAGTCATTAAAAATTAAATATTATTTGTTCGTATACTAAGATTTATGGAAAAGAAAAGTCCAGGAACACAGATATCCTTGGATATGTCATTTGGTAAGTCTTTCACAAAGATCGTTATTATAGATTTTTCTAGCCATTATTTTCTTTTTGAAGAAAAAAATATACTTTTGTTTACCACTGAAGAAAAAACAACATCTTGTTTGTTTGTTTTTTCCTGTGATAAATGGCATAACAGGATTTACTATTTTAACCATTTTAAAGTGTACAGTTCTGCAGCATAAAGTGTATTGATGATGATGTACAACGAGCACCACCATCCATCACTGAAATTTCTTCATCATCCCAGAGTTAACCTCCATGCCCATTAAACACTAACTCCCCATTCTCCCTTCCCCAGCTTGTGGCAACCACTGTTCTAATTCCTGTCTCTATGAATCTAAATGTTCTAAATATCTCACGTAAGTGGAATCATACAATATTTGTCCTTTTGTAACTGGCTTATTAGCCTAATGTCTTCTTCGAGACTTCCTGGGTGGTTCAGTAGTAAAGAATCTGCCTGAAATGAAGGAGACACAGGTTCAGTCCCTGGATTGGGAAGATCCTGGGAGAAGGAGATGGCAGCCCACCATAGAATTCTTGTGTGGGAAATCCCATGGACAGAAGGAGCCCAGCAGGCTCAGTACATGGGGTCCCAAAAGAGTCGGACACGACTTAGTGGACTAGACAGCAACCATGTCTTATTTAGGGTTCATTCATGTTGTGACATGTGTCATAATATTTTTCCTGTTTAAAGCAAAAATGTAACCCATTGTGTGTGTGTGTGTGTGTGTGTGTGTGTGTGTGTGTGTCCATCAAGGAACACTTGCAGTGCTTCCAATTTTCGGCTAGTATGAATTATCCGGCTCTGAATTTTACAGTTTACAACCATACCATATACTTTCAGCAGTCCAGCCATGTGTCTTACGATTAGTCTAATTCCTTTCTTCCCATCCTGACATGGAGACATTATGTTATAATTTTCCCACTGAACCCCTCCCTCCACCTCCACCCCATCAGCAGAGAGACCTTCCTCGAGGCTTCCCAAGGTGCTACAGAGGTTCTGTAATTAACTGTTAACACAGACTCCTGTCGCTAACTTTTGTGAGCATGGGCCTTTTTGTTTTTGTTTAAATAATGATATTCTTGTCACTAACTACACAAACCACAAGAAGAAAATTAAGACACATTTTACCTAATTGTTTCATACATCTAACTGAGGGAATAAATCCAGATTACTATTTCTCTGTTTGCTGAGTATTTTATAAATCTGTGTGTCAGTTCCCACTTACAGTAGCAGTAGTTATAGTGATAAGAGAATTGGCAACACAGGTAATGATGAACAAACATCAGTGTTGATTTTTGTGTCAAAACCTGAGCTAAGTGCTTTTTTAAATAGATTATGTCACTTACTGCTCAAGAAATTATTCTAAAGTAGGATCTCTTCCTATTCACACTGTATGAATGAGGTTTCTGCTCATGTCTAAGCTACAACATAACTATACTGAATACTCTTCCTAATTTAAGAATTTCAGTATAAGAATGTCTGAAAATATCTGTCTTAGAGTCAAGTAAAACTGAAGCACAGAGATGTTATATAAGTTCTCTAAGGTTAAACAGCTGGTAGTGATGAAGTCAAGATTTTACCTCATGTATCTCTGAGGTCAAAGATTATTTTCTCAACCATTACATCCCACTGTGGCCACTCCTTGCTTTCTGCCTTTGCCCAGTGTTTCTGAACTTCATCTGAATTTCATCTCCACTGAGTGTGGAGTTTAGGGGTGGGATGAACCTGGCCTTGGTATTGCCTGGCACTTACTAACTCTTTGCCTAGGATATGTTTTTTCATAACTCACAGCCCATGAAAGGCTGAGAAAATGTAATTCACAAAGATGTTGTAATAATTAAATGTTCAAGGTGATATTAAGTGCATTCCTTGGTGTAAAGTAATTCTTGAATAAATATTGATGCCCTTGTATCTTTCTCTCCTTTGTTTTAGGTTAAACACACCAAACAATGTATAAACTTGTTAAGTAATTAAGACTGCCTTTGGGCTTTGCTTTAGTTGCTCACAATTTTATAGAGAAATAAATATTCATATAAGGGAATATGATCCAAATTCCATTGCTTCTCTCTCATTCTCTCTCATTTTATTTTTGCTCTTCAGCATACAGAAATGCAGCTGAAATTGTTCAGTATGGAGTGAAAAATAACACCACTTTTCTTGAGTGTGCCCCCAAGTCTCCACAGGCATCTATCAAGTGGTTGTTACAAAAAGACAAAGACAGGAGGAAAGAGGTGAGTAATGCAGGAGAGCAGCAATCAATCAGAGCTTTGGAAAGAGCATTACATCACCATCCCTCAGTGAGGCACAGATCAAACAAGAAAGGAAGGACATACGACATCCTTTAGTGTCTTTGGGATGACAAGTGCCATCTTCTTTAAAATTCTTTGTCCATGGAGTTGATGGATTAATTAGAAATCCTATCTGCCTGCTCACCTCCATAACGCAGTGATTAAAGCAAGAGCTTGCACACTCAGATGGGGTACTGATGGGAGGAAGCATTTGTAAAAGAAACAAGATGTGCGCAAATCCGGAAACCAGGTTCTCAGACGACAGCACCTTTGTGGGATTCACAAGATAAAAGGGGCTTTTGAAAAAGTTCAATTTTCCTCAGCAGAAATTCCACTTAACTATAACCTTTATGGTAAAGAGCATTTTTCCGCTGTGTGGTAATCTATTTCCATTGCTCTATTATTCATAACTCCTGGGGTTTTGTTATAGGTAATGTGTGGAATCATTATTTATGGGACCATTGCCTTTATTAAGTGATAGGTAAAAAAAGAAAACTCGACTTTCAAATGAAAGGACACTTGTATTAACCTTTCACTGAATATAAAGAACTGTTTTAAAAGGAAAACATTGTAAAACAGCATAGAGTGAAATATTATAAATAATGAATTCCATAATATTGATGTCACATTCTCCTAACTAATGAGAGGATAAGAAGAAAAATACATATGTATATATAAAGCCTTAAAGTAACCTAAACTGCAATGGTATTAACAACATCACAAAGTGTGATTGAGTGAAGGGAAAAATAGAGCCTTTGGCACTTGTGTGTTTTCTGTTGTACACAGTTTCCATACTACGTATTAGGTTAATGAGAGCTAAATAGAATGGATACAGTCCTAAGCTAAGCGTTACATCAGAATTACTAAAGTAGATGCTGGCTCTTTTTGAGGAAATGCTTTCCAACTCTCAAACCTGCCTATCCAAAGATGTTATGAGCTATTTAGGAAATTTTGTGTTCCCTGTCACAGGAATATGAAACCATAAGCTGATGACCACTTGCATAAGATGAGACTTAAATATCTGGGGAAAAGATGGGCTCAGTGAACTTCAGGGCCCCTTCTTGCCACAGAATTTCATAAAATTGTTTAAATTTGTTCATTAATAAAAGATATTGAGGCTTGTTTTCGTGCTATCAAATCTATCACCAAATTAGTCTTGAAATATCTGCAATTAATTAATTAATTAATTTTAAATTATTTTGAATGGATATGGAGCATAAGAATGATTGCCTTACAAACTACTCTGGGGTAGAAGTCATAATGTATGATGATGATGATTATCATACAGAAACGGAATTCTTAGGCTTGAACATGTCGTGTGGACGTGAACCATCCTTCCAAAGAAAGTCTGTATATGTGTATGTGAATTGAAAAGCCACAACTCAAACAGGGGCTTACCTAACATAGATAAAATGCTGTTCTTTTATTCAGTAGAAAGTTCAGTGGAAAAATACATAATGGATGAATGTAATTTCTATTGTGTAAAATTAAAATACATGAATATATACAGGCTTGAATACATGTCACAGAAATTAACAAATGAAATTTAAAAAGGAATGTATCATGTGTCTTATCTCTTTCATTTCATTATATTTATGTTTTATTTCAGTGGTTTCAAAAATGTGGAGACACATATGGCTATCTTGATTTTTCTCCCAATCTCAAAAGCAGAATACTATAATTTAAGATAATGAAAAACCTTAACTCTAATTATGAAAATCTGTTCTGTCCAGACTTTAAGCATAGCACATTTCCACTCACTATCACTTTAGTTGAATAAACTATTAACATTTAATTAAATTTATCTTAATTGTTCCTTAGTAGTTTAGGCAAACATACACATATTTCTCACATTGATTATGTGTAAATACTGAACTTTTTTTTTTTTTTGGTAAGACAAGTGGTAAAACTTTCAGAGAAAAATGCAGATAGTTCATATTGAATAGCATAAAGTGAAAACTAAAAACCCTCCTCCCCTCCACTTCAGTATTCATTCCCATTTCTCAGAGTATAGGCTGCTAAGAATTGTATAGTCCTCCACTAGTCTCCATAACTTTCCTATTTTCCTCTCTCTCCTTCTTTGTATCTCTTTCTCTATGAGACACACCCACACATACACACACAATTTCAGTATTAGTACCTATGGAGCTACCTTATTTTTCTTGGCTGCATAACATTCCACTATATGACCATACTTTGCCTTTACTAAAGCTATCTACTGATTGCATTATTTCTTGTTTTTCCTCTTACCAAAGCATCAAGTAGGGACTTCCCTGGCAATCCTGTGGTTAAGACTCCATGCTTCCACTCTAAGGGGCATGAATTCAATTGGGGAACAAGGATCCTGCATGCTTATATGGTGTGGCCAAAAAATTATTTAAAATTTTTAAAAATTAATGTGAGTGAATATCTGCATATTAGTTAGGCTATGAATTTTATATAAATTCCTATAAATATCTGCACTGAATCTTATATATAAATATTAATGAATATTATCAAATTAGCCTCCAAAATTTTTCTCAATTTCATGCAAATAGAAAAGACTTTCTTTTTTATTTCTGAATGCACTTATATGTTATTTAAACTATTTCAAAGGCATATTAAAACTTTAAAAATTAAATGAACATAAAAGTTTTGCTTTATATGTTTCAGTCCTTTTTCTTAATCTCTCGTTTCTAGTTCTGTTTTATTCATATTTCAGTGCTATATTTTTCATTTTTGTGCTTTTGTATATGAGTTACTTTTTATCTAAAACAACCTATCTTTGGTTTGTATTTCATTAATAATAAAATACATATTTATATAGAAATTTATCATTTAGAAAAACATTTCACATTCATTCTCTTATTTTTCTTTGGGTCAAATTTCTTTCCCTCAATGAAAGAGCATTCCTGAGTATATATATGAAGGAACTACTTACCGCTTAGGTTTTTGTGTGTTCACTGATAATACTAAGCTGGCCCTGTAAGGAAATGGATTTCAGAATTTAGCTTACATCTAGAAAATAATATTTTTTCCAGCATAAGCCTGTAAAATAATTAAATAGTCACCTCATAGCTTCTTTGGACAAGGAAATGGCAACCACCTCCAGTATTCTTGCCTGGAGAATCCCATGGATGGAGAAGCCTGGTGGGCTACAGTCCATGGGGTCGCAAAGAGTCGGACACGACTGAGCGACTTCACTTCATAGCTTCTTATTACTTTTCCTTGAAAAGTAAAATCACTTGGAGTACTTATAATATAATAAGTTCCAGCTTATTTTTAGTCATTCTTTGTGTTACCTAATTGGAAAAACCCCTTGATAATGTTCAGAACTCTGCCTCAGCTTATACAATTATTAGTTAGGGGAATATTCATTCATTCATTGGAAAAAAGGTATAATTCAATTATTTAATTATGGCTTCATGTTCTTACTCAATAAGTGAGTACTTTTGTTACAATAAAAGGTAACAACTATAGGGTAAAATAGATAGTTTAAACTGTGAATTTCATATATATATATATGTGTGTGTTGTCTGTAATTTACATTCTAGAAACATTCAAAACTCTCACTTAGATGTGGATAAACTGCTGCTCCTGCTGCTAAGTGGCTTCAGTCGTGTCTGACTGTGCGACCCCATAGACTGCCTACCCAAAGGGAATGCACTTTTAGCTATTTGGGGCTATATGGGTGATACCTTTACCTTCTCTTTAATACATTCAGTACCCCTGAAACCAGATCCCCTGTGCAAAAATAAATAAATAAAAAATAAAGAGGCAATGGAATTTGCCAAAAATGTGTGTTCACTAAGATGGAAGTTAATTAGTACTCAATACTTTTGTAAAACTTATGAAATTCTTTTTACAAGTCATATCTTTTTAGCATATACAGAGTTGGATTTCAGAACTTTGATATCTCTGTTTTAGGTCAAACTGAATGAACGCATCATAGCCACGTCGCAAGGACTCCTTATCCGCTCTGTTCAGGATTCTGACCAAGGACTGTATCACTGCATTGCAACAGAAAACAGCTTCAAGCAGACCATAGCCAAAATCAACTTTAAAGTTTTAGATTCTGAAATGGTGGCAGTTGTTACAGACAAATGGTCTCCATGGACCTGGGCCAGCTCTGTAAGGGCTTTACCCTTCCATCCGAAGGACATCATGGGGGCTTTCAGCCACTCAGAAATGCAGATGATTAATCAGTACTGCAAAGACACTCGGCAGCAGCATCAACAGGGAGAAGACTCTCAGAAGATGAGAGGGGACTACGGCAAGTTAAAGGCTCTCATCAATAGCCGGAAAAGTAGAAACAGGAGGAATCAGCTGCCAGAGTCATAATGTTCGCTTAACTGGGGCTTCTGCGTCCGTTAATAAAGGTCTGTCTTCAGTGATCAAATTTTTAGCAAAGAATCTTGTGCTTTACCCATGGGAAATTCCTGAAGAAGGTGGTTACTCACTGAGAAAGGTGAATGTTACATGAACTGAAATGAGTATGCATTTTCTTGTATGATATTGACAACCCTAGACATGTCATGGTCCTCATGGTGCATAGAAAGATTTAACTTAACCTAGATTTTATTTATATCTTTATGTACCTTTTCTTCAAAATCAATATGGCGTCTATGAAACTAGAATTCTTATATCCCTTAAGTGAATGAGGGCTATAACCTGTGATCTTCCATCCTTGCTTTAAGGATTTAGATTTCTAATTGACAGTCATCTGTATACAAAAACAAATGCCAAGTTCACAATTTTTACATAGTAAAAGTGAAATAAATGCATGTAACAGAGTCAAAAGAAACATAGAATAAAAAACAAAGACAAGGAAGAGGGAATCTAAAAGTTGCATAAAACACTAGCAATTCACTAAAAGATAATATGGAGTTTATATGCTTCCACTGAAATATAGTATTAGTTATTTTTATGATGGCAAAAATTGTCAGTTGCTGATATCTATCACTGATCTCTGTTCCCTTGTTTTAGGAAGATAAAAGGAACCCTCACCATTAATATCTGACTGCAGTTATCGCAGTGAAGCTTTTAAGTTTATATTGTTATATAGTCATCTTCCAAACAAAAGCACTTTCCTTTTTGGAAGATATTTAAGTTATTTTAGACTCAGAGAATATAATCTTGCACAGTTTAATCAATTAATATGTTTATTCTAATTTTCTAGTTTGCATGGCAAGTTAAAAAATATAAGAAGAAAAATTTTTTGAAATACCAAACTTGTATATGAGGTCTAAAACCATCAAAATGGGAGAAAAAAGAAAAACAAGGTTAAAAAAGTGATTTTATTGACAGAAGTTTATTAAAAATATTACTAATTTTTAACTTCAGTAATTAATTTCATTGATTAACTTACATTTGTTTACCAACCTCAGATACCATATTGAATTTTAAGTCACCAATTCTTTTTTTTTAATGCTCTTTTGTATATGCTGGAGAGACGCTCATCTTATGGAGAAGTGAAAAAATTTCTAATTTGAACAAAAATAGACATACTTTATTTTAAAAGAATGTTGGTACATCATATTCACTGGTATATAAATACAAATGTGGTAAGTCTGTGATGAATAAAATAACTATCTTCTGATTATATACTTGGATCCTGTGTTTAGAGTTATTTAATATTTTTTTTATTCCAAATACCAATTAGATGGGAGAAGTGTAAAATTTTCTTCGTATCTTCATATTTCTTTTAAAAATACAACTTTTGTTGTTTTGTTTTACATTTAGCAATTTCCATGTTTCCAGGTGCAAAGAGAAATTATATAATATACCTAATCAAAATCTAATACAAAAGTTTTATTTATAGTTAACAATCCGTAAAGAAAGTAATCAAGATAAATATATTACTTTTCTAAACACTACAGTATAAAATGTCAAGAGCTAAAATAATTGTCAAAATGAATCTAATCACTTATCAGAATCTAAGAATATGAGTTATTATTTAAATGGTAAATTATGATATTACAAGGGGAGGCCTCAATGGAGCAAAAGTATCAGTAACAAACACAGCATAAATAATCTTTCTTCAAAAATAGAGGTATTAATAAAATTTATTGTTCCAAATGTGTATATGATTCTAAAGAAGTTTGTTATACAAATAGTTCTTTATTTCCACTCTACACGCACAAATAGAAATGTGTATAAAGCTGAAACCATATTCTGTGTTCATGCTCAATCTATTCTATGTACAGAGTTAAAAGTAAAATTGTTTTAGACTCAGAGGATAAAGTAAATTATACAGGTCCCCTTGCTTCATGTAAACGCAAACTGATAGACAATAAGGGTGTTTAGTTTTATAACATTATTTGTGCTATTTAATGCCTTCTGCTTTAAACATTATTACATTGTATATACTTTTATCACTTTACTTTTAAAATTATAGAGACCCTTCTTGAACAAAACTGCCAAATGTAAAGAAAATTTTCTTCCTCAAAAATATTGTTAACACATACTAAATGTTGGTGGTTGATTGGTTGATTTTATTTTGTGTAGTTTGACAATTCAATGACTTGATATGTTTTTCATTTGTATTGTACATAAAATTTCCTAGAAATGCACTTTTTTTCAAAGTGTAGGTTTGTGACTAGATTTTAGCATGATGAAACTGTCATTACAGTGAATGTTCACTCTCTGTAAGGAAGTGTAGTTAGCATAGTAATATTTAATTGGATATTGAAGAAATCATGTGCCTGGCAAAATAAAACATTGAATTCCCCAAAGATGTCTTTAATTTTCCTTTTAATGTTGAGTTTATAATTTCTTGTTGATATGATAGAATCTGCTGACTCTTACAATTGTTCTCATTTTCCCCCATTTATTTGTTTATTTGTGTGTGTGTGAAAGTAATGCATCTGGATATTTCAAAATTCAAAACTTCTGGTAAGATATACTTGAAAACTTTCCTTGTACCTCTATCTCTCGTTCATGTAAGTCCTGCCCCAGAAGCAGCCAGTATTGTCAATTTTTGTGTTTATTTCCATGATATATTATACACGGCAAGCAAATTCATATTTGTTTTCTCTTTAAGAGAAGTTTTATATCCACTCACGTCTGTGGACAGTTATTCAGACTTGTGTCTACAGTTGGGGGAAAAAAAAAGTATAGTTTATAAATGCTTGGGTTTGGAGCCAGACTGCTAGAATTTGAAGTCTTATCATGGGAAAATTGCCAAATCTCTTTCATCCTCTGCCCAAATTAATACTCGTAAAGTGTTAGGGCATAACTTGTATAATAAGTATTCAATAAATATCTTAATATTTTATTTATTTTGAAAGTACCCTATTGCTGCAATAGGAAGTAATATTTTAGTTGTGTCCTTTGATAAGTTAAATGCCAATGGTCTAGGCTGGGGAGCCTGTAGTCAGATGACACCTTACCAGGGTAAGACTATATGAACCTTTATAAAAGTGAGGGGAAGGAAGCCACAGGGAAAAGAACAACTATAAATAATCTCCACAAATCTTTCAACCTGATGATTTTGAACTACTCCCTAATTGCTTCATTACTCAGTATCTTGCTTTTATTTGAATGTAAAATTAATTTTAAAAAATTATTGCATTGCTTATAAATTTAGTATTTTTCTGATGCTTTATATTTCATACCCAAATTTAAAAAAAAAAATAAGAGGATCACCATTTCCTGTCTTTACTCTTCTGGTTAAAAAGAGAGACATGTCACGGCTTTGTTTTGCAGCACAGTCAAGTCCATTGAAAGCTTTAATTTAGACAAGTAAATAAACAGACTAAGTAAAATGGTTACTTAACCAGTGGCATTGAGAATTTCTTTGAATGTTATGCATGGTAACAAAACTCTGGAAGACTACTGTGAAAAACAACTTCCTTATAAGTGTTTATCCCCCTGTCATTTCATCCAATCGCCTTTTGCAGGGGAATACAAGCCCCTCTGCAAAGCTGAAACCAATTGCAATGAATTTTGTGTATGTGCCATTCAGTGAACTTCATTGTCAATGAATTGTTTTTCCTAGTGGGCTTCTGGTATATACATTCAATTTTTATAATTTCATAACTTTACTTTCTTGGTGCACAGATACTGAGAATTGGAAGAACTAGCTCCAAAATAAGAAAATGCCATCTTCACTCTACTGACTAATGCATTTGTCCATTTATCTCATAATACAATACTTTCCACCCAGGTTGAATTGTGTATTTCTCAGAGCTATTATATTGCCATGCTTGAGTGTTACTTAGAAAAAGTGCTATTGAAGAATGAGATTATAACAAACACATTAAAACTCTTTATTCTATGTAAGGTTACCTCTCAAACCTCAAGTGCAAAAGTGGGGTGAATTATATTCCTTAAGTGATTTTTTTCCTCTGAATTATTTATATAAAAATGTCATCCAAACATTTTATGAAATCAAAAGCATAATGACTTCTGCATGGCCAAATGGATATGTGATGGAATTATTATAAAAGTCAAAGCCATTCCTATTGTTTCTCTGAATATTTTTCAATGTACATACAGTGTTTGGCTCATAAGGGGGTACAATAAGATGAAAGTAATTTCCTACTTTCTTAGATCTTTTCAAAATATCATTTTTACAATTCTATGTAGGAAAAGAAATTATAACCCCTTGTTTTATTATTTCCCCCTTTACTCATGTATGTGGGTTGAGGGGTGGAAAGGGTATGATTTATAATCAACTTCCCATCTCTGCTGTATCGTAGCTCATCAAAGAACTTAGGACCTTCATAGTACTTTTGAGTTGAGAATTCACAGTTGTAAGCTGTGGTTTGATGTTGAGAGTCAGCTTGACTCATGAATAGGAAAAGCAACCATTGGAAACAAAATAACTGAGGAGGTACTATCCAAGCCACATCTGCCTGAGACACTCACTGAATTCCCAGTGATATTTGTACAGATGCAGATGCATGTGTGTTGTATCCACAGATTATGCACATCGAGATCCAGGAACCAGCTATATTCAGTTTTTTAATATTTCAAAATGAATCTCATTTCTGCTTCAAGTTACCATTCCAACTCCTCCACTAAAAATGATATAGCCTGGGAATGTTATGTCTTTCTTGATGAATTGCTGCTTTCTCTAAAATTGGAATTATAGTAATACCTTTCACATTCTATAGTTGTGAGAATTAAATGAGTTAATACATGAGGAAGTCTTATGGTGTGACACATAGTAAAAGCTCAAAAAGTATATGCTATTATTTTTTTCTATCAGCAGAGCAAAACTACTTTAAGTATTTGAACTTTTGTCCCTCTTTTACCTCAGGTTGTATCTAAATGGTTTAACTGATATTTGATGTCATTTATCTATATTAGCATCTGTGGTGGCAGCATTTTTCTTT